CAGACATTTATAGCAATTCGGAATAAATCGCATCCCGTATTGGTTCAATACAGGGCGGAGACAACAACAGCCACCTGTCATTTTAGGCTAGCTTAAGCTAACCTGAATATTTACAACCACTTCTGTTGATACACTGACATTACTTATCTACTGTCTTTCAACCACTTTGAAAAGCTTTTCTTCGTCTCTCCAACATCTTTATCCCTCCCCCTCTTACGTTTTCTGTTTAGTACCCCGGAGTTTTTTCTCCGGGGTACCCAGCTTTAGCTCCCTGTTGTCGAATGCATTCCTACAATTCAAATTTAAAAGAAGAAGAAGAAAAAAAAAATGCGCCTCAGCGCGTTCTCGAAGGGAGTACCAAGCTACCTGTATGGGAAGCCGTGCGGTTAGCAGGAGGGGAGGGCCGCCTAATCAGTGCTGTTCCTGTTATTGATCATTTCATACCCAAACAGCTGTTAAGTAGCTACATAAAATACTGACTAGAAAAAAATACTCCCGAAATCGTTTTTGCGCCTCCTCTAGTGCAGCACCCCTGTGCATTGCATACATACCCACTTTTTGCGCCACTGTGTGTTTTCTGTTTTTTTGTATTCTTTCTTTGGACTCTTATCAAGTAATAAGCAATTTCCCTTAGGAATCAAAGCATATTCTACTCTATTCTTCAGTTACATTGATTACTGTAACAGTACCTTCACAGGTCAGCCAAAAAATAAAAAATAAAAAAATCAAACCTCCACCTGCAGCTGATCCAGAATGCTGCTGTTGGAGGTCTCTCTAAAACCAGGAAGCTAGAGAACATCACACCAGTTCTACAGTCCTTACATTGGTTTCCTATAGCTCAGAGTATAGACTTTAAAATACTGTTTATAAATCACTTAATGGTTTAGCACATTACATTAAAGATCTGCTGTTGTTGCAAAAGCTGCAAAACAGCTGAAAAACCGAGTTCCTTGAAATCTAGACTATAAACCTGTTTAGAGTTGCTTTTGAAACAAAATCAATAAAACATTAATCAATATTCTGATGTGTAACGATGGAACTTGACAAAACGTAATGCTTCAATTATTGACTGTGTTCTATGACTTTGTATTTCTGTGGTTTTCCACTTTGAACTGCCTTGTTGCTGAAAAGTGCTGTACAAATAAACTTGGATACGGCCAAAAAGACCAACTCACACTAAATATCCATTAAGCAAATTTAATTTCAAAGTGTCAAGTGCACCATTATGTGATCAATAGAGACGTTGTTACTAACAGTGTCTTCAGTCAGATGCTTCAACACCGATTGCTACAGGAGATCCTTCTTGCCCACAGATATCAGAATCTACAACAACTCTTTGAAGAAACTTGGGTCATATGAGTTTAAGCAACGTTTAATTTCCCTTTGGGATTAATAAAGAACTTCTGAATTTGAATTGAACTCTGATTGTTATAGTTGTGTGACATACTAAAGTGTGCAGTCTGGTCTGGTGTACCGTGATTGTGGATACTACTCACATTCACCAAGCACAAGCACTGAAACAAACAGTAACACTGTCTGGTTAAAGCACTTTAATAGCAGATGGATATTAGAAATTCAGTGTTATGATAATGACAGGAGTTAGTGTGATCTACAGGAGAAACATTTGATCATACATTAAGATGAAACTCAAAATGTGATATGTCTCTTGTCATCAGTTTTATCATGTGATGCTTATGCATTTGACACTACACCCTAATCATTTAAAAATAATATAACTTCCATAAAGTTGCATTTAAATAAATACCTTACAGAAGCAAAAGTAAACAGTGAATTCAGGCATTTCATGTGACTATAAAATATTCAAACACTGATGATGTTTTCATACATTTCTAATATGAGGTCAGTAGAGAAACCCCATTTTCCCATCCTCATGCATGCTTAAAGATACACCAAGGCTTGTATACAGACAGATAAATCTAGTATTTGTCCAAGTTTATTTAAACATACATTCTGTATATGACCTGATGGTGACCTTAGTTGATAGCCCATTAAAATCAAGCAAGCTGATGGCATTCATTTAAAATGTAGAAGTTTGACTCTATGCAGGAATTCATGTAAAACTAGCTGAGGACAGAATACAACATCAGAGTATCAGAGTATTGGGTTTAAAATCAATCAAAATTAAAATTACTTCAACTCTACCTCAATACAAGTTCAAAGATCCTTCCAAAAATAGCTTATTAAAATATTCCTGGTCATGTGACCATTTCCTGACTCATGTGGTTGCTATCCACTTCCTTCCTGTTGTTGATTGAAGGGTTAGAAAGAAACTTGAAAGAGAAGAAACTTGGAAATGTTCTGAGCATGCATCAGAACCATTCAAGCTCTCAAACTTGTAGATGAGGTAAAATGAAAAATAGAAGCATATGATACTGAAGAAGTACATCACCACCGCAGACAGTTTTTAACTTCGTCTTTGTCTTCTAAGCCTGAAGGTAATGGCAATGGTGTAAACCAAATCAACTTGTTTGTCAATGTACAAAACTATGTAAAACTATGCAAGCATTTTCTCCTAGTCACAAAGCAGAGCTGTGGGGCTTCATGTAAAATCTATGTTTTTATGCAAAACTCTGTTGATATTACACTAATGTTGAAAAAAATCAATTTCACAATTGCAGTATTTCCATTAAATAAGAAACACATCTAAATCACACATGAATATGTTTGCTCACACAAAAAGTCACTAAAAACATGCTTCGCCATAATACTCCAACTAACTACTTCCTGTTTTCTTCATAGTTTGGGCCAACAGCAACATGATGTTCATGATCATGTGACTTATGTGTTGTGAAAAAAGTGTTTCCATTGCAGTTTTGCAGAATAAACCAATTTCAATATGGCCAAAAAATCACCTCACTCTGGTGCCAAAACTTTTTATCGAGAGTTTTTTCGAAACTAGTTTGTTTTGATTAAGAAAATTTATTTTCAAAATGTCAAATTGTGTGATTATGTGGTCAATGGAGAAGCAGCTAGTGAGTTAGGAGCCAGAGGACAAAGAGACAGAAAAGGGCATTGCAGCAAAAACATGTTGAAATAGGAGACAAGATGAACAGAGAGAGGACAAACAGGCAGAAAAACAAGACGGCTCATGTTTGAAAATGTACATTTTGGTGCACATAACCAGAACCACAGAAAGCCTGGGGGAAGGCCTGCAACTAGAATGAGAAAGAGCAGTTCTTTATTTTTTTTTAAATCAGAATTTATGGATGCACCAGGAGAAAACTGGGGAGGATACAGAACTTCACAGGAAGCAAGGAGAAAAACACGAACCATGCAAACACATCTCCTCTTTCTCTTCTGTGGGATTTTTAATCAAACATTCGCACCGAACTGCATACAAAAAGCTACACATACTATTACTGCCCCCGATTATGTGAAAACACAAGCCGCCTCTATGTAGCTGCACAGGCAGAATACATGGAGATTTGCAAGCGGAGAGTCTGAGGAGGTGCATACTGATATTTCAGGCGTTGTCTTTTGCTTCCTTAAAGATTGCAGTTTTGCAGCGATTATTTAATGATGGCCTAAAACAGACGGGCCTTCTTCTTCATGTCGTTCCTCTTCCACAGGGCCATCCGGTCAAACTGTTCCAGTGTCATTCCAAAAACCTGCTGAAACTCGTCTGGAGATAAATGTCTCTGGAAATGGAGGACAGGTTGGAGAGATTTTTACTTGACGGTAAACACAACCGACTTAACACAATGCTTGAAAGCTATATTACTCAAAAGAAAAACACCGCTTCATATTCTCAAACTCCTTGTTCTCATTAGAGCTAAATGCTCAGCTCCCAGAATTAACAGCAAAGTATTGGAAGAACTGATCAAGTCTACCATTTTTTCTACATATAATGGTATCATTTATTCAGCATAATTCAACTGAAAACCCAACAAATTGGTTCAAAAGAAAGAAAGATAAAAGGCAAAAGCAGGGTGTGCCCACCATTAAACTAAGCATCAAAACAGATTCCATAGAAATCTGTTGTTCACAGCTAATCTGCCAATAGCAGAGCAAATTTTTGATTTAGCTCATTAGTGTTTTTACTGATTTTAAAAACTTTTAATGCACTTTTTCTTCCCCTAAAAATGTTTATCCACATAAATTCTAGAGGGCTAATTTACTTGTTTATTCTATAAACTATGGTGGCCCTGAAGTACAAAACCCCAATTAACTAAGCACAACATAATTAAGAAAACACAATGACTTCAATTAAGCACAATTACAAAATAAGAAAATTGCCTTATTTTGTAGTTGGCATTTTGCACAGTTGAATGGTTGGCATGGAGATTAAATGATTTCCAACAACATGCATGAAAGAATCAAGGAAACACTCAAGGCAGTTTTTGATGAAGGAATAACATTATAACATGATGTAAAGCTAAAAAAACAAAATTTATTTTACATAATTCTGCACCTTTTATGTAACTGATCATACTGAAGCTCATCTCATTTTGTTTTCATCCATCTAAGTTGTATCTTAACATAGACTAAATCTTCAAAGGACTGTCTTAGGTCATTCCAAACAGCTGACCAGTCTTTTCTACTGCAATTTGAATCATTTCACAGCCATGTTTTAACATTTTCTCCAGGTTAACAGGCCGTGGAAAGAAGGAGGGGGCTGGAACTACAGAGCAGGGAGGAAAAGATGAGGGCTCACCTCCAGTCTGGTGCGATCTACATCTCTGGGAAGCTTCACTTTCACTTTATGTGTCACTGCTAGTATTTCATAGGGGTAGATCTGGAATAGAAAAAGGGTTGAGAGAGATTTGTCAGTGAGTAGTATTAGGAAACTTATGTATCAGCTAATTTAATCATAAAGCGAGAATATCCCTTACCTTGTAATCTAAACAGGAGAGAAGGGAGAGAAACATATATTAAATGACAGATTATGATGCTAGAGTACTGAGAACTCTCCTTGGCAGATACACTAAAGACTGTATGCATATACACATGAAAGCAGAACATCACCTCTCCATGATCTCACTTTAGGTCACCAGAGTTCAGAGCAGTGATGGCATAGTTACTTTGAAAAAGTAACTTTGATCAGATTACTGATTACTCATTAAAAAAGTAACTAATTAGATTACTAATTACTTGATTTGGAAAGTAACTAAGTTGCATTTAAAGTAACTTTTTAAATTACTTTCAGCAGCTGCTAACAACGCTCTGCCACCTGTGAAAATTGCATTGATCTTTGCCAATACTTAATTGTAAGTTATTTTAAAATTGTAACATCAACAATGTGTCCCCACATAAGGTTGAACTGAAGGGGAGATTATTTAATGGTTTCAATAGTACAAAAAAACTTTAGTAATTTGTGCATGTTTTTGTGTGTTCCACTATTCTCCACTAAACTCTAAATAGGATTTTAGACCTCCCACCCCTCCCTGCCCCAGCCTCCAGGTTCTGCGTTACGGCCCTGTGTTTGCTGTCACAGCGCAGCGCACAGAGCTCCTCCTGTGGCTCCACAACTCAGACGGCTCCTGCACAGATTTGTGACATTTATCCTAATATTAATAATTATAATGGCGTTTAGTTGCACAACTTTATGAACACGTTCATTCATGTCTGCTTTCATGTTTATTGCACTGTTCATAATAGTCTCGATGTTTGCAGTTTGTTGTAGCGCAACCCATTCACAGCAAATATATTAACTTGACTTTACGAAAAACAAAGCAGGACGGATCATCCAGGAAATGATGGACAGGGAGAGTCTGACTTTAGTGACTAATTAGAGGTCAGACAAATTCTGGGGTTTATGTCTGTTTATTTCCAAGCCCAAATAAGCAACTTCACGTTCAAAAACAGCCCAAAAGCGCAGCTCATTAAATTTGTTAGCAACTTTAGAAAAAACCAAGCCCGAAGCCACTTATAATAATCGGACTTGGTGACTGAAAGTCAAATTAGTTCCTATTTTTCCAGCAACAAAATGCACATCTCTCTCTTCCCTCCATTGTTTATGTTTCTGTCGCTGCTGATACTGTTGCATAGAAACGGCGATCACTCCCCAAGACACGCAGAGGAACTACAATTAAATTACAAAAGAAAATAGTAACGCAAAGTGTTTTCGATAAGTAACTGTAATCTGACTACTGGATTTGAAATAGCAACGCGTTAGATTACTTGTTACTGAGAAAAGTGGTCCTGGTAGAGAGGGTCTCTACGCTAATGGAATCAAAGATTCATAATTATTGGAAAGCAGATATGGTGGTTTGTATGTTAATCCATGAAACCTGATATAGCTGATGGTATAACAGAGTCTCACAGGTAAAGTATCATGTCCCTTGAACTTTTCAACATTTTGTTCTGATATAGAAACAAACCTTTGTGTATTTTATTGGGATTTATGTGACAAACAACACATAGTGCAGAATTGTCAGGTGGAAGGAGAAAGAGACAGTTGTCTGTTCTGAAAAGAAAAATGTGAAAAGTGTTTATTTGTAATGAATCAATACTTTTCAGAATGTCTTTTGACTGAAGGTCTTTTGGGGGTTGTCTCTGCTTTGAACAAACCCCAACAATTTTATAATGTGCTCCTCACAACTCTTTTTATCAGAATAGTCTTATCATAAGATTAGCTAGCTACAGTGTCATAAACAGCAGGAGATAGGTTTTTGATCCTCAAGACTAAGTGTTACTTTCCCGACCCAGCATTTATCAGGATTGAAGCTGTCCTGGGTGAGCTGTGGTGGCACAGGGGTTAAGCACGAACCATGTATGGAGGACTTAGTCCTCGACGCAGCCATCGCAGGTTCGATTCCTGGCCTGGCGACCTTTGCTGCATGTCTTTCCCCGTCTCTCATTACCAATTTTCCTGTCAATTAACTATCAAATAAAGGCCCCTAGATCCAATAAAACCTTTAAAAAAAAAAAAAAA